AATGCCCGCCGTTTCAAGTCAAACGCGAACGGCAACGACAAAGATCAAGGGTGCGCTTCGGGTGAAAGCGCAGCAATGTCGTGCACCAAAAACTAAAAACGCATCGCCGAGGTAGGAACATCATCTTGTGGTTCCCCGCCTATTCCCTTACAAAGCAGTCAGTGTCCTCCACGCCTGGAAAACACTGCAAGCGATAGCCTTAGCCGCCAATGACCCCAACAATCTGATATCAACACAGAGCAGTCAGAACGAAAATAAAAAAAAATGGCCTCAACAAAAAAAACAAATACATAAAAACAATGACCAAAAATAAAATACATCACCTTGGTTGCTCGGTCCTTCGCCTTCTTGAGCTCCTTTAGCGCGGTATCGTGCTCCTCCGCTTTTTCCTTCAACGCCTCAAGGGTGCCTGAAAAACGAAAAAAAAAAAAAAAACATGACACGCACGGACAACGTCTTCCAACGCTCGAAAAAGAAAAACCCGCCAAAGCACGCCCCCCAGGGGCCACGGTGCATACCAGGGGCCACGGCGCATACCTTTCACTACATGTGCGACACTGTGTTGTTGTCTGCGATGTCCCACTCACCATCGGCCTCCTCCAAGTCGGACATTCCCATGACCCCGAAAAAACAGTGTGCTATTATAAATACCATATACATGCACCCCGCAGCGTCTCCCCCGGGTGAACGTCGGCCTCCTCAATCACAGTCCTTCCCGACAGCCTCATGCCGGTACCAACTACGGTCTGCGCCCCCCCGGGGAAACTACGGTACGAAGTACATACCAAGGCTGCGATACTACTGTACCGACTTTGTGCCTTCTCGACTCCGGCCTCCCACAACAGAAGCGCTCCTTTCCCGTACATACCACACTCGTACCAACAATGGTCTGCGGGGCCCCCGAGGACGGGAGTAGCTACGAAGTGCCATAGTCTTGCCTCGCTTAAAGACACCAAAATGAAGTAAACTCCCTCGGCTATTGCAAAGGACAACTTTTTTCACAGGCATGGTGGCTCGCAGAATGTACAAGATAAGTTGGGCTATCAACCTTGAGGACACTTCCCAGCCTTAGGCCACATTCTTCTCGAAAAAGACCAGGTGTGTCGTTAACGAGGTTCGACTGTAAACAATAAAAAAATGTATACCTTAAACTCACCATCAGCCTCCTCGAACAGAGCCTTCTTGTCCCTCACGGTATCCTCCAGTCTGTGCACCTTAGCGGTAGCGTCCGTCACAGCCTTCTCGGCGGCCTTTCTCTGCTCCTCCTGCGACAAGCCCGCCTCGTGAAGCTGCTCCAGCTCCATCGCGAGGGTCTGTTTCGGTTTCATTTTCGAGACAGAAACAGTAACAGATGGACCGCACGAAAAACTGGTCACAAGAATACAACAAAAGACTCTTTTCTGTGATAGAGATGGATTCGTTGTGTCATATTAAGAAAAAAAAAAAAAAAAACGT